AAATTTTTAGGTAAAACTTCATATGGTTGAAAGTTGAATTCTAAACAATACATGAAGGAAGTTGCAATGCCTTGATCTTATGAGTACGCACTCCCTCTCTCGCGTGTGTTATAATTGTCATTGTCGTTAATTAATTACCAAATGTGGCCTAAAGTTAGAAATCTTAATAAAACTTCATTCTATAAATTTTCCTTGACAATTTCTTATTAGAAACAAAAATGTTAATTATGTCAACAAAATTTATTGTAAAAATGATTAAGTCTCTATATGGTAATTCATAACCTTCCCAAAAATACTTTGTCAACCACTTTTCTAATCTAAGATTTCCCAGAAAAATTAACTTTTCATTACGGACAAGCGCTCATCCTTGTCTCCAATACCGGCAGGGGGTCGCAATCTTAACACATATAGTATAAGTAGAATATCCAAATCCACTTTCAAAGTATAATGGTAAGGAGGGATTTATTTTTGAATAAAAAATAAAGATAAATTCACCCATAAAATTTTTGATTTGAATAAATCACTTCAAATTTAATGTGTAACGTTATTTAATGTCAACAATCTATTAATTTGATGTCATCTAAAATCAACAATTCATTAATTTGACGTAATCTGATATCAGCAATCCATTATTGTAATATAATAAATTAATAGATTGCTGACATTAGATGATATCACACGTTAAATTTAAAGTGATTTGTCAAAATCAAAAACTTTGTTTGGGGTAGATCCATCTCTATCATTACATTTTGAGGGTAGATTTGAGTATTTTGCCTATCCGATACATATAGTGTGCATTTAGGTTGAAATTATCATCACATAAAATTTTATTAAAATTACATATATATAAATTATAAATGTTGTATTGGCTATAATTGATGTTTTATTTATTTATTTATAAAATTTTTAATAATTAATTATAATATTTAAAAATATTATGTTATGAGTTAATTTTAATTTATTAAGTAATAAATTATAATTATTTTACTCATTATTAGTTTTTTTTTTTTCTAACGATCATGCATCCTTTTAAATTTTGGTTGACCTAATTTAATTTTTCAACTTTTTGATATAAATTTTAGATGAATATTTAACATACAATATAAATAATAATTAAAAAAATTTAAATAAAATGAAATTTCTTAATAAAACCTATATATAAGAGAAAGAAAATTTTTAATT